TAATTGGGGGAAAAAAATCTTAGTTGACTATCCCTTAGAAAAAGGACTTCTACATAGAACATGTAAAGAATAAATATATCAGGCCCCCCAAATTCAAAGACCAAGTCTAAAAATGGGCATCTGAGATGAATATATGCTTCTCAGATCAAGAAATGCAAATGGCAAATATTTGAATAAATGTTCAACATCATTTGTCAATCGAAAAGTTCAAATTAAAACACCCCAGAGATTTAATATCACCACAGAAAATATTGCTGTCATTAAGAAATCAAATAATAATAAATGCTGGCTCTGTTGTGGAGAAAGGGAACTCTTCTGTAGTGTTTGTGGGAGTGTAGACTGGTGATTCCTCAAAAAATTCAGAGGTTCCTTTTGACCCAGATGTCCTCTCCTTGGTATTTTTCCAGAATATCTGAAAACATCATGCCACAGCAGTACCCATGTTTTTAACAGTGCAATTTGTCATAGCTAAATCTTGGAAACAACCCAAATGCCCCCCAACCAAGAAATGGAGAAAAAAAGATATAAAAAGATGTGGTATTTTTATGTAATAATCTATTACTGAGGTATAAAGATAAACCTAAGGCTTTTATAGGTGTATGGATGCACCAAGGGACCATACTTATAAGTGAAATAAATCAGACTTGCATGTATAAACATCCTATTATCTCTCTAGCATAAGAACCTGAAAGAATACATAAAATCTCAATTGTACGATAGATACTGTGAAAGGCAAAGAAAGTGTTCAAAAGCAAGGAACACCTGGGATGAGGGAAAGGAGGAAAAAAGGATGGGAAAAATATGTATATACACAGGATAGCTTGGACAAGTCTACTGATGATTTCTTGTGATCTATTGAAAAGAGCAGGTAATGCTTAATTGTTTTCTCTCAGTTTTTTTCACCAATTTTGCATGCATATATCTGGTAATGTCAACTACTAATTTTAATACAACCATATGCAATATAACAACCATTGTTGAGTTCCTATCATTTTTTAGTGAAATTCTGTATAGTTTTATATGTTTTTCACTATCTACAAACTGTGGTACAAGGTTTCAGGGTAAATCCTGAGGGGATTTGACTGATACAGAAGTTACATTTTGTTGTCAGATACAAAAGTTACATTTCTTGTTATATAGGTCTTGGTTTATGTTGGTCTTAGCCATCCAGCAGAAAAGTATAAAAAATAAAGACATATTAATATGCTGAGCTGTAAAAGGCTCAAGTTATCAACTTCTGACATTGCCAGTCCTAAGGATAACCCACTACTATTATGGACTGCTGGACTATAATGGATTATTTTGCTGAATTCGCGCACCTACAATATTTAAATGGCAATGGAATACCCATCTCTGACAAAACTAAACAAAAAAAGGTGATACAAATGAGGGACCATTTTGTATCTGTATATACAAAATAGGATAGATACACAGCTATTTTCTCTTAATTCAATGAGAAGAAAGATTTGTACTATTAGTGTTTGGACAAGATATCATGTCTGCATCTTGTACTATGAATAACTACTATGAAGACAATATGCAATGTATTGATTACTGAAATTGTGCTAGTAATCTTTTTTGAAACTGTCTCATTGCTATTTGTTTCTCCATAAGATTAATTAAAAAATGAAGAAATGTAAAATATAAAAAAGCTTAACTTTATAAATTTATTTTAATAAAAGGCACGTTGCCATTAATCTTTATTCACATCCTCAAAATATTCCCCCTTGCTTCAAATACACTTATTCCATCATTCTTTGCATGTCTTTTTTGGTAATAATTTTTCAAAAATTTATACATTCACCATATATTTCAATCACCCCTTGTATATATATATATACAAAGCTTGATTTACATTATATACTATGTATACTATGCAGTATATAACTTACTATATATTCATTCTAAGCAGTACATATACATTGATACTTTTATAACAAATAGATACTAATATTTGTGATATAAGTACTCCAGTTTCTTTTACTTTTTTTGTTTTTTCTTTTTAATGCCTAGGGATGGAACCCAGGGCCTTACACATGCTACACAAGTGCTATCCTTCTGAACTACATCCTCTGTTTTCTATTGCTTTTTTTATATTTTGTTTCTTAATAATTTTGAGAAACAAGAAGCAATGAGAGAGTTTTAAAACTGATTAATAGGACAGTTTGAATAATTAATACATTGCATATTGTTGTCTTCTTAGTGGTATCTTTTAGTGATTCTTTTAAACTATTGTCAAAGACTGTTGGGTTTTATTTTGAATGTATGGAACCCAAGACCTGCTAGATAAGTTATTCTGGGAATGATGGTATAGCTCAATGTTAGAGTGGTTAATTTGCCTGCATGTGGTCCTAGGTTCTATTCCCAGTGCTAAAAAATAAGATAATGTGTTCTATCATGTCTTTAATTTTCATTAGGTATGATGCTTTCTTCTAAAAAATTTTAGGGGCCGAGGAGATGGCTCAGTGGAATAAGCGCTTCCCTGGCAAGTGCAAGGGCCTGAGTTCAATCCCCGGTTCCACCAAAATAAAAAAATAAAAAAATAAAAAATTTTAGACCTCAGGATGATTCACAGGCCTGCAATCCTATAGGACCAAAATTGTGACCTGAATTTTTAGATTTAAATTATTTTGAATAAACTATTTTGAGCATGTGTGTGTTTTAAAAGTGACAAATGGTTTTACTTTTCTTTTTAATTTCTTATAACTTTTTTAAACAACTTCGCACATTTATATCTGGTAACCCTAAGGAACTAATTTTAAGATAACATCATGCAGTACAGTTACCATTGTTAAGTGAAATTTTGTATTGTATCTAATGCTTTTTTTTTACTATTTTGTATTCTTTACAGAATAAAAAGAATTTTAAAAACTGACAAATGAGAAAATAAAAAAATATAAAATAAGATAAATCAAACAAAAGAATCCCCCTTTCTTCCTGTCACTATCTCACTTCTCAGAGGCAAGCACTGACAGCTATTTGGTATATAATATGATGCTCCTTTTTCAATGCAGTTACACAGTTTCTGGCTTTTTCAAAACTGGGCTTATAATACATTTATTAGTCTATAATTTCTTTTTACTTATATTTGCGGCCTATAATCTTATCTATGTAGATTTAGTTTTTTTTAACAATGACAGTTTCTCTTTAATCCCTCCTTGTTTGTTTGTTTTCTGCGGTACTGGGGATTGAACTCAGAACCTTCTGCTTGCCAGGCAGGTGCTCATGCCACTGAGCTATATCCCCAACCCCTAATCCCTCCTTAATAGACACTTTAGTTTTTACCAATGTCTTGCTTATATAAAGTATGCTGAAGTAAACATCTTAATTTTTTGTTAGTACATGTTTGTAGAACATAATGAATACATTCATTACAGATAGTTGCTCTATGCACATTACATATCTTTGCTCTTTTTCGTTCTTCCCTCTTATTTCTTTGTCCCCTTCCCATTTGCCAAGGATTTATCTCCCTGTTTCCTTTATATATCTTTTATTTTGCTCTTTTTTTATACTTTGGTTCTTTACATAAGAGAAACCATACAATATTTAATCTGTTTCTTATTTCACATAACATTATGGATCCTTGGGCTGGGGAGATAGCTCAGTAGAATAAGCGCTTGCCTGGCAAGCTGAAGGTCCAGAGTTCAATCCCCAGTACCGCAAAACAAACAAACAACCCACATATTGATCCACAATGCATTTATTTTCCAACTAATGACTTATATTTATCCAGCTTGATAGCATACTAGTATGCCATTGTGTATAAATACTATATTTTGTTTATCCATTTATCTTTATATACTCAGGAGTTTCTGTAAGGTAAATACTTAAAATTGCTAATTTAATAGGTGTATATATTCTAAACTGATACTGCTAAAATGTGTTCCAGTGTAGGTATATCATCCTGTATTCCAAACAAAAATATGAAATGTGCCTATTTCTTCACATTGTAATAACAATAGAAACTAGATATTACTAATCTTTTAGTTTTATGTCAATCAGATAAATTAGAAATATTTCATCAGCTAGATACAAAGACATTTTCCTGTAATCCCAGTCACTATAGAAGCTGAAGCAGGAAGAACATGAGTTCATGAACAGTCTAGACAAAATCATGAGATTCAATCTAAAAAAATTATTAAATTGTATTGTTTTGATTAAGAATCAGGTTGTATATCATCACATTTATTGCTATTTGTATTTCTCCTCCTTTAGAATCAACTTTTCATTTTCTTCTTGTTTCTGGTTTCTGTAATGTAGGGCTTTTTTAATTATCAAGAGCTATGTGTGTATTGTGAATATGAAGTCACTAGTATATATTGCAAATATGTTATCCTTTTTTAATTTATAATTTATAATTTGTGTGTGTGTGTGTGTGTGTGTGTGTGTGTGTGTCTTACTATAGATTCAACCTTTGGTCTTCACACTGAACTATATCCCCAGGCCCTTTTATTTTGAAACATAGTCTCACCTGGTTATGGTGGCACACACCTGTAATCTAAGCCCTCAGAAGGCTAAGGCAGGAGGATCACCATGAGTTCTAAGCCAGCCTGGCCTACATAATAAGTTCCAAGCCAGCCTGAACTACATAGGGAGACCTTGTCTCAAACCACCCAAATCCCCCAAAAAGAAACAGAATCTTGTTAATTTCTTAGGTGAGACTTGAACTTGTGAGCCTTCTATGTCAGCATCCTGTAGTCCTTGCATTACAGATGTGTGCTACCGTGCCTAGTTAAGAAGAAAGTTAATATTGTTAAACTATTTGACCATAATTTTGTTTTGTGTACTGCTACGTCAATAATTTAGAGATTTGTTACTGACAATTTCCTGATCTTTTTCTTTTTGACTGATGTATGTTTAGGACGGTATTTCCCATCCTAAAAGTATGAAAATACTCTCTACGTCATCATTATTAATAGAAATTCCTTATTAAGTTTTACTTGTACTATTGTAGCTTCTTGGCTCATTTTTATAATGTTTTCTGCACAATTTTCATTCAGGCACATTCAGGAGGTGGTAAATCTTCAAACCCAGCAAAATAAAGAGCTGCAGGAGCTCTATGAACGCCTTCGGTCAATTAAAGATACCAAAGCTGAATCTTCAGAGATTCCTTTGCCACCTGCATCACCACGTCGACCAAGATCTTTCAAAAGTAAACTTCGTAGCCGTCCCCAGTCCTTGACACATGCGGACAATGGCATAGTTGCAACAGGTAAATAATTCATAATGGTACTTTTTTAAAACCCTGTTTATTACATAGTTGACCCACCCTTACTCTGTGGGTATACTTTTTTCCTAATTTTACCTGGCCCAAACTTGCTCTGCAGAGCCTGCTTCTTTTCCTACCTTTAATGAAACATTGCTATTGTTAATTTTGTTTTTTAAAAAGCCTGGTTAGCAATCACAAAAATTAGAAAAAACAGTATCATAATTTGTTTTTTATTAGGATAAACTGATTTAAAGTAATACGGATTATGCTAAAATTGTTTTTCTTTTCTATTCTTTTTTTTTTGGTGTTAAGTGGTCTCTTAAGCTTGGTTTGTGGGCACTGGCGTGTAATCCTAGCCCTCGGGAAGGCTGAGGCAGGAGGACCTGTGAGTGTGTGAGGATATCTTGGGCTACATTGTGAATCCAAGTATTTAGAGTTTGTAGAATAATTATGGATAAAAAAAACCTTTAAAATTTTTACATACTCTATCTGAGGTGAGAGTTTTTATTATTCATGTGATTATTATTTATTCATAAGAATATTTTATTTATTATTCATGAATAACCTGGCATTTGCACAACTGAAGGATAGGGATTGTGAATTTGAAGCAGTCTGGGCTATATAGTAAGATCATGTCTCAAAAAAGAAAAAGGGTAGGGGTTAAGGTAAGAACATACGCGAAATCTTAACAGAACTTGCAGTAGGCTGAACAGTGCCCACCACAAGATGTTTGTCTGCAAATCCCTGGAAACTTTGACTGTATTAAGTTATATGGCAAAGGAGAATTAAGACTGCAGATGAAATTAAACTGCTAACCAACTGTCTTTAAGTTAGGAGATATATTTCTGGATCCAGTGTAATGACAAGTGTCTTTAAAAATGGAAGAGAGAGAACTGGTGATATAATTCAGTGGTAGAATGCTTTCCTAGAATGTGAGATCTGGGGTACAATAACAAGCACGGTGGAAGTATGTATTAAGCAGGAGACAAGAAGACAGAATCTGAGAAGATAATTATGAGAGAAACAGTATTAAAGAGGTGTAAGGATGCTGTCTTTGAGGATAAAGGAAGAGAGCCACAAATTAAGGAATATAGGCAGCTTCTAGAAGCTAAAAATACCAGGGAACAGATCTTTTGCAGAGCCTCCAAGGAGTGCAACTGTACCAATGGCCAGATTTTATGCCATTCAGACTCATGTTGGAATTCTATCATGCAGAATTGTAAAATAATAAACTTATGTTTTAAGCCAAAATGTTTTGTACTTTGTTACACCAACAATAGGCAACTAATACAGAACTTAGAGAATAGGAACTGTACTTTTGTTGATGTTCATAATAGCAGAATTAAAAGGTAGACTTTGATTAAAGGCAATGTGGGTATTTAATAGCAGATGTACAAGGACATTTAGTCTGGTGCTATTCCATTAATACAGTAAATATAATTCATCTCATTCTGTTTTTTTTTCTCCAAATGATTTCTTTTTAATAAATTTTTTGAGATGCATTATCTCACTGTTGCTCAGGTTGGTGCTGAATTCCTAGGCTCACAAAACTTTGTTGGTTATATTTTTCTTGTTTGGCAATGCTGGGGATTGTACTCTGGCCCTTGCACATGCCAGGCGAGTGCTCGCCCCACTGAGCTACATCCCCCAGCATATGCCATTGGCTTACTGTTTTCTAGTTTACCTTTTACATTGTTTCTATTTGTTTATCTTATCTCTGAGCCTTTGCATTGACTTAAGTTCCCAATTCCTTTTTAAGTTTTCATTTTTGAGGCAAGATATCACTAAATTGTGGTCTCAAATTTGCCATTCTTGTGCCTTGGCCCTCCTAGAGTCCTGAGGATGTTAGGTATGCATTATTGTTTCCTGTATTATATCTTTAAAATGTTTTTTAGTTTCTTGAGACAGGGTCTCACTATGTTGTTACAGCTGGCTTTGAACTGAGCTATGTAGCCTAGGATCATCAAATCCATGATGATCTTCCTGCCTCAGCCTCCTCAGTGCTGGGAGATTATAGGCATGTGCTGCCATATCCAGCTCTGGTTTTGTTTTCTTGTAATAGCCACAGAGATTACACTGAGATTCTTCCTATAAAGCAATCTAGTTCAGATTAACACAAATATAATTTCAATGATATATAAAAATACAAAAAAAAAATTAAGTTTTTAATTCCAAGCTGAAGAGCCTTGGAAAACTTAGTATTGATCTGGCAGCTACTCTTAAGATAGTAATAAAAAAAATTGGAAGCTGTAAGTTTCTAATTTCCTTTTAATTCTTGTTGCTAACAGTTGTATTAAAATTATTTCTTCATATAAAATCTTCAATATTTATGGTTTTAAAGAAATGATGTATAAAACTTTTTCTGTTTGTGTTCTCCTGTACCTTTTTTGTGATCATTGTTATGGATTGTACATCTTTACATGTTACATATCTATCTACACAGTTTTATAATTATTGCTTTATATACTCATCTTTGAAATAAGATGTGAGAAGTAAAAACAAAGATCATAAACATATAATACATATTATATATAATATATATCTTGACTATGAGCTTTGTTTCTTCAGTCCTTTTTTTTTTTTTTTTTTTTTTTTTTTGGCGGAACCAGGGATTGAACTCAGGTCCTTGCACTTGCCAGGACCTCTTCAGTCCTTTTATTTTATTTTATTTTTTAATTTCATTTATTTATTTGTTTATTTGTGTGTGTGTGTGTGTGTGTGTATGTGTATGTGTGTATGTGTGTGTGGCCAGCTCAGCCCACCAGGGGTGCGGGGCTGGCTGGCATGTGGTGCTGGGGGATTGAACCGTGGTCCCTGTGCTTTGCTAAGCTTATTCTAAGTAGGTGCTTTAGACCACTGAGCCATCTCACCAGCCCAAGTCCTTTTATTTCAACCTAAAGTATTCCCTTTAATATGTCTTAAGGGCCAGGGAGATAGCTCAGTAGAATAAGCGCTTGCCTTGCAAGTGCAAGGTCCTGAGTTCAATCCCTGGTTCTGCCAAAAAACAAAAAAATCTTAAAATGCAGGTCAACTATCGATTAATTTCAAAGAGATTATTAAGATAAACTATTTTCATTTTTTAAAAATTTATGGAATTTGCTTTACAAAATAATATACAGAGAACTATCCTAAATACAATCAAAGGCTATTAAAGGACCCAAGATAAGTCAACTTATCACAGTTCTTCTCCTTTCCAACAAACATGTTATGAAAAAAAAATTACATTTTTTCTGGTGATTAGGGAATCAATAGGAATTTTTGGTGATTTCCAATGCAAATGTAACACTAATGTGACAGCTTCTAGGTCACAGAAATGCCTGTTCTCAACATATTCTCTTCAGGTCTGGAGTTAAATTCCCTTAATTGTTTACAACTTGTAGGGATAATAACCAGAATTTTAAAACAATTAGCAATTTTTAACTATTTTCTCAGTAAAAATATATTCATCTCTTTCTACTTTAAAGTTGATAGAAAACAAATTGAAAATATAGAACACAAGCACAGAAACTATTTGATTAATAATTGTCTATTAATGAATTAATTTTTGGCTATAATATACTAAAAATGTAAAAGGAGAAAATCCTTTGTATAAAAGGGATTTATTCATTTAGACTTAAAATTTCCAGGACTCCAGGAAATAAAGTGAAACAAGACTGCATTCTATTCTTAATAAAAATAGAAATGAAAATAATGGAATATTGAGGAAAGGCCTTATTATAAAAATGGTTAATTTAATGCAATTCAGATTTTGGGGTATATGTACTACATCATCAATATAAACTAGATATAGCTGTGTGTGGTGTCACATGCCTATGAGCTCAGCACTCAGGTGGCTCAGGAAGGATAATCACTACAAATTCAAGGCAGCCTACTTAGTGAGACACTAGCTCAGAAAAATAATACAAAACAAAACAATGCACTGAATTCAAGTAAAAGTTGTTGAGGCAAGAATATATA